ATACTCGCCTCCTCTCTGTTTCTTCTCATTCTTCGGTTCCTTCTCTTGGAGGCGATGGCGGTGTCGGAGACCGCGAGATCGGGGTCGTCGGCGGACTCATACATCGGGAGCCTCATAAGCTTGACCTCCAAGAGCGAGATCAGATACGAGGGGGTCCTCTACAGCATCAACACCCAGGAGTCCAGCATAGGCTTGCAGAACGGTAGAACATCCCCGCTCCCTCCTCCATATCGTTCCGTCGCCGCCTCCCGCGTCCTCTTTCCGGTGTTTCTTGAGAATTTGCTAGTCTTTTTCTTTTGGTGCTTTATCTGGATGCTAGGGTTTCTTTATTAAAGGGAGTTGAATTTTTGTGATTATTTTGTAGCTCTTCCTCGATTCTTTTAGGTCACAGTTTTAGGTTATCGCTCGCTCTCCATCTTCTTTTAAATGTGATCTGAAAATGTTGTTGTTACGTTATGTTTATGTGGTTGTTAATCAGAAATTGCATTTTGTTCAAATTTGTTCGTTATGTCCCCAAATTGCTACATCTAATCTCAGCTTAGGCTATTTCGAAGCGTTTATAAGGGTTGATAGAGTGGGTTAGAATCTCTGGATCCTTATAGCCCTTATAAGGATTGTCTCTGTCGTAACGTATCTTCTCGAAGCGTTTATAAGGGTTGTCTCTGTCGTAAGAGCATGGATAACATTTGTCGTTGCATTTCCTATCTTAATCGGCGCTTCTTGATGGCTGAGTAATCAACATTTTAATTTGCTTTTAATTACCTAAAATTTAGATGCTTCAGTTAGAAATCTTTCCTTCCACAATACTGTCGTCTGGGGTGTATAATTCTTCACATTTGGTTTTCACATCAACTAACTAGAGATTAGCAAGAAAAAAGATACGTTCTCATGCACACACATACATGCATGCACACTTCTTTCATGTTTTCTTTTGTTTATCATCTGTAAACATCTTTACCATTCTGAGTATTTTTTAATTGGTAGTCTATGTTTCTATGAATTTTAAGATATTTAATTTCTGAATTATCAATGATGTGTGTTGGATAGTGGATCACATGTGTCTGCTAACTGAATTAGTACAATAATCAATTACTATAAGCTTACTCATAGGAAAAGGATACAAGCTTGATTGTTTTCTTCAGATCTCTTTGCCCTTCACTGTCAATATCGGGATCCTTTTAATATAATTTTTGGAAACATGAGATCTTGCATATTCTTGAGCCTATTAAACTGTGAGCAAAATATTCCTGCCTTGGTAGATTATAGCAGAATCCACTTCATAAGCTAAAAGCCCATCTTGGATGTATCTCCTTGCAGCAAGTTGAAGTTATAGTGTCTACTTCATGATAGTATTGTTCTTTTTGAACTAGCTGATATGTGTACTTTCAAATAACTGTTATAGAGGTCCAACTAACAAGTAGCAATTCACATTTTATATTTTACCATCAGGATTACAGGTGGCAACAATAAAGCTTGTTTTTGAAACATAAGTTGATAAAATATTCTCACTTTGATGTATGGCACTGATGGTGTGATCGTAGTTGTCATGGCCCGAGTGAATTAGTTGCTCAATAATTTGTATGGAAAGGGATTGTCTCACAGGCTAACATGTTATAATCTTAAGTTATTAGTAGGTTATATATATATTATATATATATATATATGTTTGTGTGTGCGTGTGCACATATATATATATATATATATATATATATATATATATATATATATATATATATAGATAGATAGATAGATAGATAGATAGAGAGAGAGAGAGAGAGGTCACCCTCTCATAATTTACCAATGCCACACTTTTGTAGTAATGCAGTCACCAATGCTCCAGCGGGCTTAACTTATTCATGGATTGTTATTTTTATATTTAGAACAAGAATTAGTTTGGCTGAAGAGTTATTTGGACAATATTGTATTGATTTTCATTGTAATAACTCTATAATATCATTGCTCAATTTTTTTTCTTTTTGTTGGAAGGCCAGGAAAATATTATTAGTTCAAAATCTTTTTCTAGTCATCTCTTTTTCCAGTGTTTTTACGTACATGAACTACGTGACAGTATAGTTTCCTTCAACCTTTTCTTTTTTATGTTTGTTTGCAGTACGCTCATTTGGAACTGAAGGACGAAAGAAAGATGGACCACAGATACCACCAAGTGATAAAATCTATGAGTACATACTCTTCCGAGGAAGTGATATCAAGGTACCATGAGTAATCAAATGACATGTATTTCCGCCTGGAGGGTAGTGAAGTTCAATGAATTCGTAAGAGGAAGCTTAAGGAAACTTGTGTCTCAAGGAACATTTTGGAATAAAGTAATTTGAATTAGAAAGGCTAGGTTGAGGATCTTCATTTTTCAGTTTCTATGTTTTTTTCAGTCCAACATTCTACAATCCTCCATCCTTTCTAGACCTGTGTTTCAGTTTGCATGACTTGGTCTTGGTTGTTGTCACTTTAGCATCATTGCTGAATCATGAATCATCAGGCTTACCTGGCATGATACATTTCATTGCCTCATGTTGTATCTAATCATTTTTGTCCTTTTTGTTCATCTTTAATATTTTTTTCATTGATTTGTGTACTTGGAGTGCCTTATTATAGTTCTTTTTGAAACATTTGTAACCTATTTAAATGATGACAACTTTGAGTATTTGCTCACATGTATTGTTCTGAAAGGCTTAACTTCAAGTTTATTTATGACTGATTTGTTTGGTATTGTGAACCATTTTATTTCTGCTGCTGTTGGGTGTTAATTTTATTTGTAATATAAGCTGAGTTCTAGTCCCTGTCCATTGTGTGGTCCACTATATCAGTGTTCCGTGCAGCTGCTTTGATCAACAAATGGAAGCTGACTTTTTTCAGCTTGATTCTTAACATAATGGATTGCCTCTGTTCAGATTTTTTTGATTAATAGGTAGCAGGCATCACACTTAAAGAATAATGCACTATCTTGCTGTTTATGTGATACACTTGGTGAAATTATTTTGGCTGTTTAAAGTTCTCGTAACTTGAAAATCTTATGTTTGCTATAGCTCTGCCTGTTGAATGGTTTATTTCTTGATATTAAGTTATCGTTTCTCTTGCTATAGGACTTACAGGTTAAGTCCTCTCCACCAGTTCAGTCAACATCCATAAACAACGATCCTGCTATAATCCAGGTAAAAAAAATGAACTTGCAAATTTGTGATAGTTGATCGTTGGTCTGTTCTTATGGTATCTTGAAATGTTTGGCAGTCACAATATCTTCGTCCTGCATCTACCTATACAAGCACACCTTCTGTTGGAAGTGGAAGTATAGCAGATCTTAGTTCTCATACAGCTCAGTCGGGGCTTGCAAGCTCAACATTTCAAGGAAGTTTACCTCTTTATCAACCTGGTGGAGGCTTGGGGACATGGGGTTCCTCACCCACCCCTCCAACTGCAAATGGTTCTGGACTCGCAATGCCACCATTGTATTGGCAAGGATATTATCCCCAATCTAGTGGTCTTCCTCATTTACAGCAACCAACATTGCTCCAGCCACCACCAGGGTTGCCTATTCCTCATTCCATGCCACTCCCTTTTCAATATCCTGGAGTGAATCCATCCTTTCAATCTGGATCTCAGAATTTGCCTGAGATTCGTCCACTTCCACATGGTACTCCTACCCCAACCTCTGGTCCATTGCCATCAATGATGGATCCATCGTCAGCAAGCACATTATCTCTGGAAACAACATCAACTCTGTTGCATAATAGAACTCCGGTAACAACTGTCCCTGCAACAACCTTCAGCATTAGTCTGCCTTTGGTGCCTCCTTTGACTTCTAATTTTGAAAAGACTGCACCCATGCCCCAGAGTATGTCTTCTGTTGTTAGTAGCAAGCCTAATACAGAACCTGGTTCAACCATGGCACATTTATCTGTTTCACAGCCAGTACCTTCTGCTGTTGTTTCATCTAGTTCAAGCCAAGTTGAAAAGCCAGTAGGTTTAGTGACACCAGGTCAGCTGTTGCAGACAGGCTCCTCCATGCTTCCTTCATCTCAGCCCTTGCAGACGAGCCAAACAGATGCTGATGCTAAAACACTTGAAGATAAGTCTAAGCCGTTGCTTCACGAACCATCATGTAGTTCAGCAGCAGAAGCCATGGAGCCCATATTGTCAATTCCAAAATCAACCATGCAGAAGGTACGCTAATACTTTGTTGTTGACATTGGTATAAAATGTGGTACCATTAACCCATTCAGCAGAAAAGGTATGCTGTGCCATGTTGTTTACATTGGTTCAGAATGTGATAACATTCAATCCATTCAGCAGTCCTTTTAATTGATAAATCAATTACTGCATTTGTCAGTTCTGAATTACATTGATTGAGTGCGGTAACATTAAACCCATTCAGCAGTAGGTTACTGTTACTATTTTGTATTTTTGTTTACATCGGTTTAGAATGTAGTAACATTCAACCAGTTTAGCAGTATTCTTTTGAGTGATGAATTAATTACTGCATCTGTCAGTTCTAGAATTACTAAAAGATCAGGAAGCGATGTTCCAAAAGGTCAGGTATTTCTGATTTGCTTGGTGAGAACATGGACCTTATTTCATTTAGACAAGATGACAGTGATGCTTGATTTCTTTTAGGATTCCCTCTCTTCATTTGTTAAGTTGGAAATAATCCAACAGATAACTGCTTTACAGTCAGCCTGTTCAGCTACTGGATTTGTCTTATTTTCTATTCAGCTACTGTTACTATGTCATCTAATTCACTCTTTATCTCTTCATTTGTTAAGTTGGAAATAGTCCAACAGATAGGTGCTTTACAGTCAGCCTGTTCAGCCACTGGATTTATCTTATTTTCTATTCAGCTACTGTTACTATGTCATCTAATTCTGGAGATACATTCAATACTGTTTTTGAAGGATAATGTATTTGATGATGGTGTTTATTGAATTTCCAGTCAAACGGAGCTGCTTTACACAATTATTACAACAGGGGCCGTGGAAGAGGAAGAGGAAGAGGAAGAGGAAATGAGGTACCTATGATTTTCCTTATATCTGTTCTACAGGAACAACATTTCAGAAATAGGATAATTCCAAATGTCTTGGGGAGTTCAAATTTACTGCATTTGTTGACCTTGCTTTGTTCTCTTTAGTGTCGCCATTATATTTAATGGAAAAGTCAACCAACCTTGTACTATGTAAACATTTGCATATTAGGTTCTTAGGTAGATTTGGAAAATATGCAGTCACTTCTAGTGCTTGTTAGTCAAACCATAATATAGCAATTTAGAGGATGGCCATGAGATTACTTTGAACTGGAGTGTTTTCCAGAAAAGTGCCCCCTTGAAGGAGTAATGAATTCAGGTGCATCTTGAGAGAATTGATTTGATGATCTTTATGAAACTTGTCTGATAAACATTAGAAGTTGAGGGGCACTTATCACTGAGATATTATTGTTCACAAATTAGTGAACCTTAGACACTTTTCTTTCTTTCCTGTAGTCCTTTAAAGCAAACCAACTGTTCACACATGAGCTTTTTTCCCTGCACTTTTTAGGCCATGACTACTGGGAAACGTTCCTCATGTTGATTAGCTACTTAGTGGTTAACATGAGAATCTAACATGCGACATGAGCAGAAGCACCCATGACTGCAGCTCTGACACATGTTACCTAACCAACCCTTAACTAACCCTCTCAAGACAGTATGATTGAGGTAGTTGGATTCATTTGTATGTCAAAAAGCTATTCTTTTCAGTCAAATATATACTGATATTGTTACTAATATATTTACGTAGTTACTTTTGTTTAACTATAAAATGGGCATCAAAATTTTAAAGCGGATTCTTCTGTCTTCAAGCACCTAATTGGAAGTGCTTCTTGTCGGGTGTTGCAGCATTCACGTCCTGTGACTAATTTTACTGAAGACTTTGATTTTATGGCGATGAATGAAAAGTTCAACAAAGATGAAGTCTGGGGTCACCTTGGAAAAAATAAAGCCCATTGGAGGGACAACCACGGAGAACTGATAGAGGATGAAAGTGACTATATTCTGGAGGAAGATGATGAAGCTTTAAAGCTTGTGACCAAGGTAGTCAAAGTGCATTTTACGTGATTTTGCTGGTGTTTGTCATGGTGCTCTGCTTGCATTTGTTTGCCTAAGTATTGGTGCTCTTCAAGTCCATTGCTCACGTTGTTTTTTCTCCATAAAGCCTGTCTATGTCAAGGATGATTTCTTCGATACACTTTCTTGTGCGACCCTTGATCATGGGACACGAGGTGGGAGGACTAGATATTCAGAGCAGTTGAAGATAGACACGGAGGTATTTAGGTGTCTCCTCATGGATTTCTTTGCCATCATCTATACTTGGTTTATGAACTTAGTTCCACTTCCTCAATGCAGACGTTTGGTGATTTTAGAAGACATCGACCAGCTCGAGGTGGTGGACGTGGCTTTCGGGGTGGTGGTCGTGCTCGTGGGTCTTACGGTGGCAGGGGCTATGGATACTTCAACAGGGGGCGCGGTTATGGTCACCCGCATCACACTTCCTAGCAAAAACTTTTGCTAGCATCAGTTTTGGTGCTGGTAGGCTACTATCAGCTGAATCAGAAATGAAGGGACTGATTTTTCACTGGAGCTTAGCCTGAAAAAAAAAGAAAAAAAATTTGTAGTCCGAGTTCTGTTCCAGTTGCCATATAATTACTCTTGAAGTAGCAGCAGCTGCAGCAGCAGCCACAAGGTATGAAGGGCTCCATTTCTAGTACTCGAGCAAACAACTTCTGCTGTTGCTGGTCTTTATGCATCATTCATTGCAGTGGTTGATCTTCACCGTGGCGATGGCATGGGTTTCTTCCAAGTTTTAACATTTGTTATGCATCTTTCCTTGTAGCACTAATTCATCACTATGCATAGTTTAACGTCAGTTTACTCAGAAACGAGAAATTTCATCAGTTAAATTCTGCCTTTGCACCCTTTTATCGGCATTAATCTCCTTCATCTTTTTTACTAAGCTGCGTGAGTATTCTCCCGTATTTTGTTAGCGACCTCGATCATGGTCATTTTGACTAGTGTACTCTAGTCAGATCACAAGTTCATGAGTATTCTGCCGTCTTTTGCTCCATGAAGTTAATTTGATGATTTTTCATGAGGCCAACTTCGAATGCAAGTATACACAGATCACATGATGAAGGTTCGGCAAGCACATTTAGAATTATACCAACTAATCAATTAACTTATATAATAAATCAATTATTCGATTCACTTAATCAAATTTCTTGCACAGCTGAAAGGTTATTGTCAAATTTTTGATACCAAATGTTACGAGTGAAACGTGGAAAATTGATTAGTGTTACGGTAAGTAACTTTTTAAGCCGTGGCCTCGGGCCGTCGCGGCTCGGTTTGGGGGTCCGGATGTCGAGGATCCTGATCGATGTCCTTCGGGGCCTCGCGGAGGCTGGTCGCCGTGGTTCGGTTCGGCACCTGCACACAGGTCGGGCCGGGAGCTCGGCCCGACCCCTCCGACGATCAAGTTAGAGAAAGATGTGGAGGGGATTGTGGATGAGGCAGAAGAAGAGCCTCTGAGTGTTTTGTGTCTGAGTGAGTTCCTCACCCTTTTGCTTGGCGCTCAATGGTATTTATAGACGAGGTTTGATGTTACCTGATGTGGCTGTTCGTGTGAGCAGGGTCGTACCTCTGATGCCGTCTGACACGGTCGTTGGCATTGCGTGGGGGGTCGGGTCGCTGCAGGGTATGGGCGGGGGTCGGTAGTTGTCTTGTCCCACTGTGGATAAGCGTGCGGGGACGGAAGTCGCTGCTTGCCAGTGGGTGTCGTCAGCGCGAGTCAAGTCAGCGTCGTTGCCTTCCGCATCGGGCAGCGAGGCGTCCAAGTGGGGCCGTTGTCCTGGCTCATCATGTCGCCATTATTTACCCTATCAATTAGTATCTCCCCGTCTCAAGTGGCGCCGAACTCATGGCGCTACTTGGTGGCGTTTTTGGGGGAGTGCCACTATGCCAACATAGCCCCGACCCGTGCCCTCTTCTTTTCCTGTTTTCGTCTTTCTAAGGGGTCGGGGGGCTACTATCTGTCCGCTCGAGCGGGCTTCAGAGTGAGTGGGGCCCCTTCTAGCAACAAAGGGTGGAAGGAGCGCTTCTTTTTTGTCAGCCGCTCGGAATACTAGGGGTTCGGTGTCCGCTGGGGGGCGCGTGTGATAGACAACACCGCCCCAGTCTTGGACGACGAGGAGCGCCGAGGGCTTCTGAGGTTTAGAGAGATCCTCCCGGCCTCTCGAGCCATCCGGAGTATGTCTGAGCGGTGGTTGGTGGAGGCGGGGCTTAGCCCGGTACCTCTAGGTACGCTCCGAGGGGCGGTTTTTTAGGGGTTTTCTCTCTTTTCCTTGTGGGCTTTTTGCTTAACCGGCAGTCGTTCCGACCTTTCTTAGCAGAGATGGTGCTTCTCGAGGCCCTGCGTGGGGGAAAGACCTCGGCCGCGTCGGGCCGTTCGCCTTCCGTCACCAAGGTGGGTACGAGGGATGCCCCGGTGGACGTCGAGGCCGGCCGGTCTCGGAAGAGGGCGAGGGTGCCGTCGAGCGAAGGTCTTGAGGTGGTCGCAGCTCCGGTGGTGGGAGCAGCCATGGCGCTGGTGGGGGAAGGCACCGGAGGGAGCCTCGGGGGAGGCGAGTCTGGCACGAGTGGGGGCGCAGTGGCAGAGGCGCCTCGCCAGCCTTCCGTCCGTGAGCTCCTTTGTCTTCCGCTGAGGGAGGATGAGCCTTACTTGGCAAGGGAGGTGGGAACTCTCCCGCATGGTTCGGCCACCGACGCGCTGGTGGCCCGGTGGGATGGTCTCACCCGGGGCGCCCGGGTGTGGGCCGACGGGGATAGCGCAGCCAAATTTGTTCGAGGGGGGCTTCATCCCGACATGGCTCGGGATCTGTACTCCCTTCCATCCGACGCTTTGCTTAGCAAGCCTGCTAAGTCACTGTTGTGGGGTAAGCGCCGTTTCGTCCCCCCGTTTACATGCTTTTCGGACGGACTTGGCTTTGACCTTAATCCCCCCCTTTTCTTTAGGGCAACCATTATGTCGCCGCTTTGATGGACCGTGTTCAAGACGCGGTGAGAATCATTGCCGCCCTAAGCAGCCGCAACGCCGAGCTCCGGAGGCAAGCAGATGAGGCTCGGGCCGGAGCAGGTCCTGAGGCGGTCGCGGTGGCCGAGCAGCGCGCCTCCGACTTGGAGGCAGAGGTGGCCCGGCTTAGATCTGAGCTCCAAGCGTCCGCGGAGCGGCTTGTGGAATCGCAGGCGCGGCTGGAGGCGTCTGAGGAGCGTAATGCGGGGCTCCAGACTCACTTGAGGGCATCGATGGCTGAGAGTCGCTCGGCGAGGGCGGACTCTCTTGAGTTGATCCGGCGCCTTGAGGAGTCACGAGCCGAGGCGCGGGGTGCCTCCGAGGCCTTGGAGGCTAAGATTCGCCAAAGACCGGAGAAGGATAAGAAGCTGATCGAGGACTACAAGGGTTCCTCGGGTTTTCAGTTGGGTCTCGTTTGGACCAGGCGGGTCTCATACGAGTACGGGTATCGGGTTGCCCTCGCCCGTTTTAAAGCGCGCCACCCTGACATGGAGGTCGTGGAGGACCCCTTTGGTTCCTTCCCCGAGGACCTGGGCGTCGACATGCCAGCTGAAGTTCCTTTTGACGACAGCCTAGACGTCCCGGAGGATTGACATCCTTTGTATTTTTGCTTTATTTTGTAATACCCCCTTTGTTTTCGAATGAACATGATCTTCTTCGTCCTCTCAGCTGTCTGTCTGTGGCGCGGCGCGGTTCTTATAACTGGTCGGGTTTTTATTCATGGAAAGAACTTTTTGAGGTTTTGGGCGTTCCAAGTCCTTGGCAGGGAATGCCCCGTCATCGTGGCGAGTCGGAATGCGTCGGTTCCGATGACTTCGGTCACTCGGTAGGGGCCTTCCCAACTGGGGGCCAACTTGCCTCTTGCTCGGGTCGGGTCGCTGACCTCGACCCTTCGCAGGACCAGGTCACCTAATTTGATAGGTCGGGGTCGCACTTTCGGTTGTAAACCCTTGCGACTGCTCTCTTATAGGAGAGGGCTCTTATATGCGCGTCGGCACGTCGCTCCTCCAGTAGGTCGAGGGCGGCTCGAAGTCCTTCGTCCGAGGTTCCCTCGTCGTAGCTTTTTGTCCGGAGGGTGGCGATGGTTACTTCGTGAGGGAGGACAGCTTCAGTTCCGAACGCGAGGCTGTACGGGGACTCCCCAGTAGCGGTTTTTGGAGTGGTGCGTAGCGCCCATAGCACGCTCGGGAGTTCGTCCGTCCAACCTGTCCGAGCCGTGGATATTCTTCTTTTGAGCCCGTCCAGGATGGACCGGTTGGTCACCTCCGTCAGCCTGTTAGTCTGAGGGTGGGCGACCGAGCTGTACTTCAGACGGATTCCGTGTTTTGCACAGAACTCCTGAAATCCCTGACTGGCGAACTGGGGCCCATTATCCGTGATGATGGTTTTTGGCAGGCCGAACCGAGTGATCAAATTCCTCCATACGAACTTCTCTATTTGCCGTGCCGTAATCGTCGCCAACGGTTCGACCTCGACCCATTTTGTGAAGTAATCTACGCCGACTACGATGTACCTCCGTTGTCCTGCGACTGGGGGGAAGGGTCCGAGGAGGTCTAAACCCCATTGCGCAAATGGCCATGCGCAGTCGATGGGAGTTAGCGGAACTGCGGGCAGCTGAGGCGTTCGGGCGTGTTCTTGACATGAGGTACATCGTTGTACATGCGTTGTCGCGTCTCGGCACATGGTCGGCCAGTAGTAGCCTTGGCGAAGTATTTTATGTGCTAGGGTCCGTCCGCCGATGTGTTCTTCGCAGATTCCTTCATGTATCTCTGCCAGGACGGTCTGAGCTTCGTCGGGCTCTAAGCATCGTAGGAGGGGGTATGAAAAAGACCGCTTATAGAGTCGTTCGCCCACCTCAGTATACCACGCGTGTGTGCGACGTAAGCGCCGAGCTGATGCTTCGTCGGGCGGGAGAATTCCGTCCCGTTTGAAGCGTAGCAGTTCTTGTATCCAGGTGGTGGACGCGCCACTCGTAGCTGTGGCCGCGATTTCGACTGCGCGAGCGGGTAACTCCTCGACCTCGGGCCCGACTTCGGGGGCAGGCATTGAGGCCAGCTTAGCTAGTGCGTCGGCGCGCTCGTTCTCCCCCCTGGGGACATTAGATAATGTGAAATGAAGGAACTTTGCGGTCAGGCTTTTTACCTGTGTCAGGTATCTCGCCATAGTTTGGTCGCGGGCCTCGTATCCCCCACTGAGTTGCTCGGCCACCAGCTGGGAGTCGGTGTGGACGTGGAGGGCGACCACCTGCATCTCGAGAGCCAATCTGAGTCCTGCTAGAAGCGCCTCGTATTCCGCCTCGTTGTTAGTGGCGCGGAACCCGAAGCGAAGGGAGCGTTCGAACGACCGCCCGTCGGGAGCTCGGAGTACCAACCCCGCGCCAGCACCTTTCGAGTTGGCTGATCCGTCGACGTGCAAGATCCAGGCCTCGGGAGGTTGGCTGAGGCTCTCGTTCCCGATCTGGGTTAATTCTGCGATGAAGTCGGCCAGGGTCTGGGCTTTAATAGCTGTCCTGGGCATGTATTGAATGTCGTGCTCGCTGAGCTCTACCGCCCATTTGAGAAGCCGTCCTACAACATCAAACTTAGACAAGGCCTGCCGGAGCGGCTGGTCCGTGATTACTTCCACCGGGTGAGCCTGGAAATAAGGGCGTAGCTTCCGGGCGCATAGCACGAGTGCGAGCGCTAGCTTCTCGATCGGTGGGTATCGTTCCTCGGGACCATTGAGGACGTGGCTGACATAATAGACCGGGAGCTGGTCGCTGAAGCTTTCTTTAACCAGGACGGAACTTACTGCGTGCGGGGAGGCCGCTAGGGAGATGCGCAGTTTCTCGCCCGGGGAGACCGAGGCGAGTCGAGGAAGGTT